GCAACAAATGAAAGAAGCAGGGATCGTTAGAGATCTAGCTAGAACACAGAGGGTGGGGTCTTGAGCTAAGGGAGCCGACATGGAAAAGGAGGACACTGCCACATTCATGCAGTTTTGAAGGCAGAGTCAATGAGCCTTGCTTACTGTTAGTAGACAGGCCAGGATTTGCTAGGTGGATAAGGAGTCCAGAAGGTTCCATACAAAGGTAGCAGCGAGAGCAAAGTCACAGGGGCAGGGTATATTCTAAGAGCCAATAGTGAAGGGCAAAAGTGAAGGGGCACAGTGGAGTCAGGCGAGTAGACTGGAGATGTGACCAGGGGTCAGATCATCAAAGATTCAGAATTCAGTGCTAAATCAGTGTTAGTATATACTGTGTTGCCGTTGAAGGCACTTGACTTGAAGGCGACATTATTTGATTTGTTTTTTGAAAAATGACACTAGCTGAACTATAAAAGGAAATAAAAAGATAAAATTAAGGGGAAAAGAAAAACCCTGAAAACAGGTACTTTCTGCTAGTTAGAGAAATAAACAAGAAACCAGAAACATTTCGAGGGTGGGACAATAAAGGGAGGGGACTTGAATTTTTTAGAAACTGTCCACCCATTCATCAGACAAACCCTTGATTGTCTAGTGGTTTACAGTATAATTAAGTGTTGACTCAGGGATGGCTGAATGGTGTCATGGAGTCAGAAAGAAGCTCCAAGAGGAAAACTTTAGGGACGAAATAATGTCATGTACCATGTCCCTTCCTTCTTCTGCTCCACTGCTATTCTTGGCCCACTCGTTTCTAAGTTTCAGCAATATCTCTCAGACTGGTGTGCCTCACATGCAATTTTGGCAAGCTAAGCATGGTGACAGAGCCAGATAACTTGTTCCTGTAGACTTATAAACTCATCAGCTGTGGGCTGGTAATATAATTTACAGGATACTTTGCCAGCCCTATAAAACAACTTTCTGTTTGCAGGGGAATGAGGCCCTGACCAGAAGAAGTGTTTATAGCTTAATTTGAGCTGTGTTCTCTATTGCTGTAGTAGTGGCCTGTGTATGATGCATCCTAGTCTTCTGCCAGACAGCTACAGCTTTTTTTTTTTTCTTCTTGGCAAGCTGAGTACAACATCGGGCTTTGCTTAATATCTACCCCTGTATCCTGTTACCTTAGGTGTGGTAGCCCTAGCACGCGTCTCCATCTTTTGGGACAAAGGAATTGAGACATTCCTTCTGTTGGATACTCCGCAACCATGGTTTACACCTTGATGAAATTATCTGATGTCTTACTCTTCTAGATAAAGTTCTTATAAAATTATATTGCTAGAAGGCTTGAGAATGGGAAAATCTGAGATAGGCCACCCCTGTGTATGCAGCCAAATGGTGATTCTCTTCCTGATACTTTTTTTTCTCCTTAGTGTAACGCAATAGCTACTTGCCATTTATATCATCATAGGCTAACAAGGTTACTTGTATTCAGCCATTACCCCCAGGTGACTATAGCTAAAATTAAAGCTCCACAAAGTAGGAACTTCTGTTTTGTCCATCTCCAGATCTCCAGTCCCTAGAAGAGTACATGGAAACATAACAGGTACTCAAAAACAATGTGTTGAATAAATACGGCCAAATACTGAGAAATATTGACATAGCAAATCTGCCCTAATGATTTGGAAATGAATACTACAAATGATGTAGTCTCCCAAGAAGACCATGTTCTACTGTGAGTTGGCCAGGGGGTTGATGAATTGATGTGTCAGCCTGAGGCATTACATAGGATCTAACATTCATTTTAATAATATTCTAAGAGTTGCAAAATTATATGGAATTCAATTCCAGAGGCAGTATATTAACCTGGTCAACTCTAGATTCTACTGTGCAAATGGAGAGTTGTGAGATTTCCCACTCTTAATTCTCTTTTTGCTCATAGTCACATCCACTAGAAGAGAGATCTCTTAATTCATGTCTTACGTGCATTGAATTCAAAGTTGGCACTGTCACAGTTATTTCCGTAGCTAACTCTGCTTAAGTGATTTGGAAGTAGCTTATATATATCACACACACACACACACACACACACACACATATGATATATATAACATGTATAAGTATCAACAATATTTTGAATCAGGTGCCTCAGTAGAGCTGTATAGATCTATTGAGACATCTGTTTCAGAACATCACTGATTTTGTACAGCCTGATTGCTTTTGGAAGGAGGATCCCAAATAGAAAGAAAAAAGGTCTTTAATATCTCTGTAAGAAAAAAAAGGCTTTTATATATTACTTCCATTTCCTCCGTTATGAAATAAAAAGGTTTGAATGCAGGTAAATTTTACATTTTTAACTGTAAAGTTTTGTTCAATTCAGAGAAAGTAATCTCACAACTTCTATGCTATTTTTTTTTTTTTCCTGATAAAGTGACAGACTGATTCTACTTTAATCAGTCAATTGGACTTATGGAAATTTCTTCATTGGTTTGACTTTTCTAGAAAATTAAATTTATATTTCCAGATAATTTGATTTTGGTTCATGTTGAAATAATGGCTCGGGCACCTGGGTGGCTCAGTTGGTTAAGCGACTGCCTTTGGCTCAGGTCATGATCCTGGAGTCCCTGGATCGAGTCCCGCATCGGGCTCCCTGCTCGGCAGGGAGTCTGCTTCTCCCTCTGACCCTCCCCCCTCTCATGTGCTCTCTCTCATTCTCTCTCTCTCAAATAAATAAATAAAATTTTTTTTAAAAAAAGAAATAATGGCTCAGTCTCTTTTTGGAAAAAAAATATGTGTAAAACTGAGGTTTGTTGAGCTGATGCATTGCAGAACAGTTAACACGTAGAAAGTATATTCTCTTTTGCTGCCCTGGAGAACTTATTTCTACTAAAGCAATCACATTCCAGTGAGCATCCTGTGTGTAGAATAGTTCTCTGAGCCTTCAGCCCAGCCATTTGGGAATCAGAACACCAACAACTAGCATGGGAAACACAAGGGCAGGCATGCAGTCAGTCATTAATCACTTTACTATATCAGCTCAATGCTACTGTGAAACAATATTCTAGAATAAAGCAAAGGTGATGACTATAGAAATCCATTCACTCCAGATCCATACCTGCAGTCAGTCATCCTTGTTGATGATGCAGAGATACAACTTTATTTTAATTTTAGTAACCAGATATCAATAATAATGAGAGGGCAAATGTATTCTCTGGAATACTGGCAAGACTATATGACAGAGAGAGGCAGCAAGCTTTGGGCAAAAATGACAGTCTACAGAATATTGTTGTCTGTCTTTCAGAATGAATAGCATAGCTGGATCAGAATACCAGGGTCCATCACAAACTCAGTCTGCCCATGACTGCTGTGAGCCATGCTTACCATCAAAGGTATTAACAGAACCTCTGACTATGGGGTTCCTGAGTGTAATCTTTACCATGAGTATAAAAATAGACCCATTGTGTAGAGAATTTGAGAACAGAAGAAAGAAGAATGTCTACTTTATTTCTCTATTTAATCAAAGTAGACTTCATAATGAAGATGGATACAAAGTGCTATAATTAACACTTCATAATTACATTCCATTTTACAGTTTGCAATGCTCTTTCAAACATATTTTCTTATATGATTTTTAAAATATTATTCAAGATTTACATAAGGGAAAGGGGAGGCCAGAAAATGTGTGGTTTTCCCAAGATTGCATGCCCATAAGAAGTGGAACTGGGAGTGGAATATGGGTCTCCCGACATCTAGGCTCTTTCTACTGACCAGTGCTACCTCTGATATGGGAGTTTCTTCACATGAAAGCAATGTGCCATCTTTAGACATCAGGGAAATTAAAACACATATGTGTGCACATTCACATATAACATTCATTAAGCACCCTTTAATATATTTGGATATTTTCACATTCATGCTTCAGGCTTCACCTTTGTGATGGATTCCTTTTTGCAACTCATTCTCCTCCCTTCTCCATTCAGCTTTGAACCATGGAAGGTTATTCTATATGGCTTGCATTAACAGCTCCTTTGACTTCTGTATTCCAGTTGAGTTTGCCCAATGGGAAGCACACAAGGGCGGTGAGAAGGAACGATGACAGTGAAGTCTGTATTTTTAATTTTCTGTCTCTCTCCCTGTGAAATGATTATCAACTGGCCCTTTGACCTAAGGTTACAGCTCTTGTGAAGCATTTATAACTCTCTTCCTCAGAGTTCTGGCAGTTGACCTTTCTCTTGCTTCATGAGGCCAAATGTAGTAATGGAAGTTTCTCTTAACAGCCTTGAATACCTCATTACCCCTGGAAGGTTCACTATCTGTGCCTTACCTATACTTTTGTAAATATTTACCTTTACTAAACTTTCATAATATGGCACAATTTGCTATTAGTATCCTGACTGATTCAGTTTTATTATTATATGTTATAGATGGGGAAACTGAGGCCCAAGAATGTTTCACAGTTAAATAACATGAAGATCTAGGATTTCACCCCAATTCTTCTAACTCCAAGCTTATACACTCACAGTGACAGCACACTGAACAATGTTTCTGAATAGGGGGGCTAACCTATACGTGTAATTACAGCTCTGCACAATAGAGCTTTCTTGAGTGGACTCAGAGAACAATTTTCAGAAACATATGACTGTCCTTTATAAATATGGTATTTTGATATTTCATAACATGTTTAAAAAATAGAGCAATAGCAATAGTGTCTGGAAGAAAATTGGATAAGATTGCATCTGGTCTCTCACCACACCATTCTGTCTTCCCTGTACCATCCGAGTTAGCCTGAAAAGTAAGTTTGATCATGTCACTTCCTGCCTAAAACCCCTCTATATTGACCAATATCAAAACCCCCTAACTGTAATTATTCAGTCTCTTATAATGGACCCTCTACATATCTCTTTAGTCTTAACTTTACCACTCCAATCCAAATACTTGAGCCCAGATGGAACCACTATATGGTTCTCAACTGGGGTGATTTTTATAACCCAAGAGGCATTTGGCAATGTCTGGAGACATTTTTGGTCGTCATGACTAAAGGGAATGCTAATGGCATCAAGTTGGTGGACACCAGGGCTACTTCTAAACATCTTAGAATGTACAAGTCACCTCCCACAACTTCAAGTTATCTGGTTCAAAGTGTCAGTATTGTCAGAGTTGAGAAATCTTGTTCTACATCAGGCACATTGAACTCCCCATGACCATTAATCAGATGCTGTGAAGCCCATGTCAACTTTGCCCCTGTACATATGCTGTTCCCCCAGCTAGAATGCCTTTGTTGTTCATTCTGTCTCATTCTTGAAACAAGTTATACCCCTCCTCCCTAAAAACTCTAGGCAAACACATAGACACCTGAGCTGAGTTCCCACAGCACTTTGGTCATTCTTTAGTATAATAATTTACCTGTTTGTGTCTATAATTCCAATTTATTATAAGCTCATTAAAGACAGAAGCCTTGTGGGGCACCTGAGTGGCTCACCCGTTAAGTGTCTGCCTTCGGCTCAGGTCATGATCCCAGGGTCCTGGGATCAAGCCCCACATCGGGCTCCCTGCTCAGCGGGAAGCCTGCTTCTCCCTTTCCCACTCCCCCTGTGTGTGTTCCCTCTCTTGCCGTGTCTCTCTCTGTCAAATAAATAAATAAAATTTAAAAAAAAAAAAAAGCGGGCGCCTGAGTGGCTCAGTTGGTTAAGCGACTGCCTTCGGCTCAGGTCATGATCCTGGAGTCCCGGGATCGAGTCCCACATCGGGCTTCTCGGCAGGGAGTCTGCTTCTCCCTCTGACCCTCCTCCCTCTCATGCTCTCTGTCTCTTATTCCCTCTCTCACAAATAAATAAAATCTTAAAAAAAAAAAAAAAAAGCCTTGTTACTCCCCTGGCACAGTGTTTGGTTCATATTAGATATCAATCATTGAATGAGCAGATATTTTTGCAGGCAGTGGCTAGATTTATCCTGATGAATTGTGTTATGTTTAATTTTTTTTTTTATTTAAAGATTTTTATTTATTTATTTGAGAGAGAGAGCAATCACATGAGAGGGGGGAGGGTCAGAGGGAGAAGCAGACTCCCTGCCGAGCAGGGAGCCCGATGAGGGACCCGATCCAGGGACTCCAGGATCATGACCTGAGCCGAAGGCAGTCGCCCAACCAACTGAGCCACCCAGGCGCCCTATGTTTAATTTTTATAAATTAAGTTACATTTTGAATTCAGTAGGAAAATTTGCTATTTAAGAAAAGCTGAATGAATTCTTTTGTTGAATGAACATTTTCTTTAAAAAATTATACGTCTTATAATAAACCAAGGTTTTTGTATCCCCTCTTACCCTTCCTTCCTCCCTCCCTCCCGTCCTTCCTTCCTAATACTAAAAAATATGCACATGTACATACCTGCTTTTCTTAAAGTGAGAAATGTCCATCAAAATTTTTGTCATAGCTTTACAGTGCTCTAGTTGTTTGGGGGAAGAGAAGCCCATATGACTATATGTATTGACAGCATTTTGAGAATGTGAGACGTTAGTTTTTTCAGCCTTGTCCACAAGAGGGAGGATACTGCCCTACATCAATTTTGTTGACTCCCCAGAACTGTTGGCTACTGTTGAGTCTGCTTGGAGCTAGAGATTTATGTTGTTCCTGCTGCTGCAAAATACAGAATTAGAACCTGGCAGGCATTCCTGTATAAATTTGCACACTGTTTAAGATCAGCCCAGTTTGGGTGGAGAGGAAGCAATCTGTGTATTTGGGAGTTTTTTGTCAGAATAAAACACACTTAAGGAGTGTGTAAGGCCAATAGATGCATGAATGAGCAGGAGGATGTCTTGAAGGTACAAAAAGAGAAGAGGATGAGGGGAGTGATTATTTAATGGTACTTTGCGTACAAGGTTGGCCATGAAAGTATCAGTAGGAGGATGGTAGGGAAAAGTTGCCTGCCAGAAATACCCTCTTTCAAGTTAAACAAAAAAGAGTATACCAGTTAAATAATCATTAGCCTCAAGTAAGGAAAGAGGTATAACTCAGTGTCATAAATCTCAAAAAATAGGATAAAGATAAATGATTTGGAAGCAAAGCTAAGAGGAATCACCAAGCAGGATGAGGCTGCCAACCTGGCCTGTGTTCCTCGGGTATGGCACTGTCTAGTTGATAAAAATATTGAAAATCATCCATAATAACTTTATAGAGGGAAAAGAAATAGACTGAGTAGGTGTTCTTATCTGGTCCCACTTTTGAGTGAAGAGTAGTGGAAATGGCAGTGTGTGTGTGTGGGGAGGAAATACATGTAATAGGAACAGACAGTGGGACTGAGAATAAAAAGATAAGTCATGAGGGCTAAATGGATCAGAAGTTCTAATGCATCCCCTTCCATTGCCTTGGGACACACTCTGTAACCAGGTGGGGTGACTTCTGCTCCAGGCACTTAACAAAGCTTCAGAAATGAGAACACAGTCTTGGCAGCTAAATGAAGCTTACACACAGCCTTGCCTCAGCTCTTCATCTCTCCCCTCATTTCATTCCCATATTTTACCATCTCTAAAGCTACAAAAAATAACTATGTAGAACTAAAAATATGAAGCCTTTCAAATGTGGATGGATCTGGAAGTCAAGTGCCTGAACCTCTGAACAATTAGAAACTGTGGACAGGGTCACCTGAGTATGAGCAGGAAAGTCAATGCCGTGACAATGCAAATACAAAACAGCAGAAGAAATAAAGTAAAATAAAAATAAAGGAAGTGATGTAGCTTAGAAAATCTAAGAATTTGGTCTAGAAGAAAATAAAGGACAGAAGAATTTCCCATGAATTATATTCTGTAGCTCATTTGCAGTGTAGAATAACTTAAGAACTCTTAGCACTACAAGAATTCAAAGGAAAAATTTAAAACAAATTAACTGAGTAAAAGGAAAAGGGAGATTATAGATGGAAGGGAGAAAAATGTGAGAGCCAAAACAGTGCAGTCACATAACTAATTTGACAGAAGGGGCAACTTCTAAGTACTAGTCCCTATCTGAACATGAGGCAAAATCTTACACTCTCTGAACTGCAAAAGAAGTCTCCAATTCACACGCATCTAACAGAGAAAGGATAAAAATTAACTGACTATAGGGACTTAACCAATAAGTGGCTTTTACTGACCCAGGAACAACTCCTAGGAAGGCAGGCTAAAAGATAAAAACAGGGGGAAATATCTGAGCAGGGAAATCAGAGCCATCACACTGCCTGGAAAGTGTAAATCACAAAATTCATTTAGCCAAGGCATTAAATAAACAAATGAACAGAGAGTAAGAACTAGTCCTGGTGGTGGCAAGTGGGGGAGTGGGGAGCAGTACCCATACTTGCTACAATCTATTACCAAGAATGTCCAGTTTTCAGCAAAAAATTGTGAAACATGCATAGAAATGGGAAAGTGTGACTCCCACGCAGGAATATGTGCTGGCAATCGAAACTGCCTTTGAGGGGTTCCAGATGTTGGACTTAGCAGACAGACTCCAGGGAAGCTGTTATGTTAAATATGCTGAAAGGATTAAGGAAAGTACACTTAAAGGAAAATAAGATAATCATTAAAGAGTGAGTATTAATAAAGAGATACACATTATATAATATTATTTTCAACTTCAAAATTTCCATTTGGAGATACTGTATACATAATACATAAATTTGGAGTTGAGAAATGCAGGAACCCAAACAAAAAATTCACTAGAGCGGCTCAACAATAGATTTGAGTCAGCAGAAGAATCGGCAGACTGGAAGATAGATCGAAAGAGATTATTTACTGTCTGAATAGAAGAAAGAAAATGAATGAAGGTAAATGAACTGAGTGCCCGAGAAATGTGTGGCACCTTTAAGTGTTCAAGTTATGTAAGATGGGAGTACTGGGAAGAAAGGAGAGAGAACGAGACAGAAAAAATATTCAAAGAATTAATGACTGAAAATTCCCCCAATTTAATGAAAAACACAAATCTACACAGCAGAGAAGCTGAATGAACTCTAAGTAGGATAAATTCAAAGAGATATACATCCAGACCCATCCAAATAAAACTGTTGGAAGCCAAAGATAAAGAAGAAATCTTGAAAGCAGCAAGAGGAAAATGACTTGTCATATACAAGGGTGCTGCTGTGAGATTAACAGTTGATATCTCTTTAGAACAGTGGAGACCAGGGGCAGCAAGACAACATTCAAAGACAAAGAGTGTCAGCCATGATCCCTGTATCTGACAGAGCTGTCTTTTAAAAGTGAGGGTGAAATAAAGACATTCCCAGGTAAACTCAAACAGAGAGTTCACGGCTAGGATACCTGCCTTATAAGAAGTACTCACTGCTTTTATTCTTCATGCTGAAAGGAAGTGACAATGATAGTAATTTGAATCTACGTGAAAAAACAAAGTGCTCCAGTAAAGGTAATTATGTAGGTAATGATAACAGACAACATAATTACCCATTTCTTTTTCTTTTTTCTCTTAGCTGATTTAAAACACAATTGCATAAAACAATATCTATAAAATTGTATTGTTGGGCCTATAACGTATAGAATTGTGATATATTTGACAATAAACCACAAATGAATGAAGTTGTATTGGAGAAGGGAAATGACACCAGATGGTAACTTGAATCTGCAAGAAGAAATGAAGAGAGACAGAAATGGTAAATAATAAGCTTAATTTAAAAAAAAAAACGACTCTATAAATATATTTGAGCTCTCCTTTCTTCTCTTTGCTTCTTTTTTTTTTTTTTAAGATTTTATTTATTTATTTGACAGAGAGAGACACAGCAAGAGAGGGAACACAAGCAGGGGGAGTGGGAGAGTGGAGCAGGGAGCCCGATGCGGAGCTCGACCCCAGGACCTTGGGACCATGACATGAGCCGAAGGCACACGCTTAACAAATGAGCCACCCAGGCGCCCCTTCTCTTTGCTTCTTAAGACATTTTTTTAAATTTTTTTCTTTAAAGATTTAATTATTTATTTTTGAGAGAGAGAGAGCGGGAGGAGAAGAGGGAGAGAGAGGTTCTCAAGCAGACTCCTTATTGAGCGTGGAGCCTGATGCAGGCTGGATTTCACGACCCTGAGATCATGACCTGAGCTGAAATCGAGTTAGATGCTTAAATCACCTGGGTCACCCAGGTGCCCCCAGAAGACATATGTTTTTAAAAAGCAATCATTATAACAAAGTTTTGTTGAGTTTGTAACATATATAGACATAATGTGGATAAGAATAACAAAATAAGGAGGAAGGGAAGAGAGCTATGTAAGAGTAAAGTTTCTGTATCTTACGGGAATTAAGTGAGTATAAAGATGAAGTATATTTTGATAAGATGTATATTGTAAGACCTAGAGACTAAGAAAGTAGCTCAAAAACATAGTAAAGAATCATTAAAGGAATGGAATTAGTATACCAGGAAATATTCATTTAAGATGAAAGGAGATAGTAAATAAGGAAAGAGGAACAAAATAGGGGAACAGTGTAAGTACCATTATGTGGGCATCCCGTGATGTGGTCTTTCAAAACTCAGTAGTCCAACATGTTTCAGATTGAATAACTTTCCTTATTCAGACTCATTTTCTCCCTCAAAGTATTACTGTATTCATGGTGCTCCTTGTGTTTGAAAATTTTTAAGCAAATTAATAAGAATCCTGGAATGGATTTTTTTCTCAGCTGATTCCTGTATTAAATTTTCTGCTTCATCACACTCCCCTTAAGAATATTAGGTTGATCATAGAACACACTCACGGAGATTCACACAAAGGTACACATTGAGATACACGCTTTTTTGTACCACTAGCCGTTTAACTACATACTCATATGGAATTTTTCTCTGATAGTACCAATATTGACATAAAGATGCGTTTACTTATACATATGTTTTGGCACTAGGCATATCCAGAGGGATAAAAGTGACCATTACTTTTGGATTGTATTTAAGTTGAATACATCAAAACAACCATTTCATGGCTCCCTGAATAATCTCTTTTAAAAAGGAGTGTACATATGTGTGGGTGTGTATAGTAGAGGGCACATAGTAATAATGATTAATAGTGTTCATGATTGCACAAACAAAAAGCATTGTGTGTATTCATATACAACATATTTAGAAATGTATGTATTTATATTTATACAATTTTATATGTCCATAAATAATGTAAATATTTATAGGGTGGTGATATGATGATGACATAGACTATCCTGAGTACCTTCCATGTGGTTGGCCTGGTCTCTTTCCATTCTGATTTCTTTTATACATGAGGGCAGAAGATGTTTGTCTCTTTTGTTCACTGTTATATTCACAACACCTAAAAGAGTGCCTGGTACACAATATCAGAAATGAATGCATCATGGTATTTCATGATCTAAAACCATGCACTTACTTCCCAGTATCTATCCAAGTCCATTGATTTTATTGTAATCTCAAATAACTGTTATATAACTACTTCTCAAAATATGCTAGATGGCTTCTGTTAAATTGAATAGCTTGTTTTTGTCTGAACATTCCCCTTCTTTTTTTCCTTTATGTGTATAGAGATGTTATTTTATCTACTGACAAATCTGATGCCATCACCTCTTTCATTACAAACTAAGAGCATGTCAAACTCTACCCCCACTTCTCTACTCACCTGCCACAGTCTCTCTCTCCTAAGTGCCCCTGGTTTTACTGATATACATTTCCTGGGTCATTTAACCATTTTTATATTCTAGTACAGTTACTTGCACATGCCATGTCTCCCTTCAGAGTAAGGACCTTTTCTCTTTCACTTTTAAACCCTCCATAGTCCATGTAGGTAGGTAGCAACTATTTGGTAACAGCAGATACTTAAGGAGGGCCTACTTAGTGCCAGATACTGAGCCCAGTGGCAGGTTGGCTTCATAGGAATCTGAGTGATACTCTCTTCTCGGTGTTCTCTAAAAATATTTGCTAAATGAACAGTTGAACAAATTCACATTTTGAGCAGCATGGTGTTGCAAACGGGCCCTGGATTTGTACTGGACATACTGGCTTAAAATCCAGGCTGTCTGACTTTGAGATGTTAACATCTGCCTCTAAGAGAGTTAACATAATGGAGTGGAGTAGGGGCGCTCCTAGCCGAAGCGCGTGGGCTAGAGCAGGCATCAAACAAAAGCAAGTTTCTTCCTTCCTCAGACAAGGGCTATTTGAATGAAAGTAGAATTACTGGTTCTCGGGGTGTCATTATCTTTTTGTGGTGGTGGTTCTAGCTCTGGTTCTGTAGATCCTCTTTGAATGAGTCAAGCAAACTCATACAGTGCCTGGGCACTAGGGCTGTTTTGGGACCAGGCTGGGCTGCTACTCTTTCCTCCTAGAAGCTCTGGCAAATGTCTGTTTGCTTTGGTGGTTATAAATTGCTGCTTTCCTCCTGTTCTTTTTTTTTTT